GCAGACAGAATTGAAGGTCAGAGACGCAGACAGAATTGAAGGTCAGACAGCTGAGAGTGGACAATGAGATATGTGCAGAGAGCAAAACTACTGAACTGGCATGGTTTACCAGCTTCCAAGATGTAGGAAACAGGACAATGGGGTCTATAAAATCATGAGAGGTATTGATAAGGTAGATAGGTGACAGCTTGTCCCCAGGGTAGGAGAGTCTAAAACTAGAGGGCATAGGTTTAAGGTGAAAGGGGAAAGGTGCAAAAGGGTCCAGAGGGGCAATTCTCTCACACGGATGGTGGTGAGTGTCTGAAATGGGATGCCAGAGGTAGTGGTGGAGGCGAGTACAATATTGTCATTTAAGAAATATTTGGACAGGTACATAGATGGGATAGGTACAGAGGGATATGGACTAAATGCACACAAGTGGGACTAGTTTAATTGTGGAAACTGGGCAGCATGGATAAGTTGGACCGAAGGGCCTGTTTTGATGCTGTAAACCTTAATGACTCTGTTATCCGGGTAAGCGTGAGGTGCTGCATTTCGGGAAATCAAATGTTAAGGAAAAGTATACAGTTAATGGCAGGACTCTGAACAGCATTGATGTACAGAAGGATCTTGGGGTTCAAGTCCATAGCTCCCTGAAAGTGACCATGAAAGTACATAGCGTGGTAAAGAAGATATATGGCATGCTTGCCTTCATTGGTCGGGGAACTGAGTACAAGAGTCAGGATGTCATGTTGCAGCTTTAATAAGCCTTTGGTTAGGCCACATTTAGAGTATTGTGTTCAATTCTGTTTGCCACATTACAGGAAGGATGTGGAGGCTTTGGAGAGGGTGCAGAAGAGGTTTACCAAGATGCTGCTTAGATGTATGAGCTGTAAGGAGAGGCTAGAAAAACAGGCGTTGTTTTCTCTTGCACAAAAACAAAGTTGCTGGAAAAGCTCAGCAGGGCTGGCAGCATTTGCGAAGAAAAAAATCAGCGTTAACGTTTCGGATCCAGTGACCCTTCCTCAGAACTGGCTTCAGCAAGTCCAGAACCAGAGGCAGATATGATAGGGGTGTTTAAGGGACTTTTAGATAAGCACACAAATGTGCAAGGAATGGAGCGATATGGACCAATGGCAGGCAAAAGGGATTAGTTTAATTTGTAGTCATGTTCAGCACAACATTGCGGGCCAAAGGGCCAGTTCCTGTGCTTTACAGTTCTATGTTTAATGTTCTCTTTTCACCACCATTGCCATGATTGCTTTCCTATAGTTAACACAGAAGAACAGAAGGAGATCCCTTGCAACAAAAATGGAAATTAAGTTGTTCAGCCACACTATGTATTTTGTTGGTTACAGTTCATGGATATGGTCCTGTATTCCAACAGTTTAGACATCCCCACCCACTGGCCCATTTATGACTCTCAAAACTGTTGAACTCCTTTTCATATGGTGGGCTTTCTTTGACCTGCACCATATTTTGCACATTGGCTCTGGCCACTGACAGGGTCAACTATACAAATCGTCAGCATTCATGCCTGCCTTTTATAAACAGATGGACTAATCTTTTAAAAGTAGCCATTTTTCTAAGTTAGCCCGTCCTGTGTACTTGCGGTTTAGAGTAATTGGACAAAGCAGTATGGCTACCACTCACATGGAGATGGGGCGGGACACCAATGGACTGTGGCAAACCCTGAAGTGTCTGCACCATCCTGCCTCAGTGGGGTCACATGTCCTGGGAAGGGACTTCAGCAGCAACATATGCAGTCCCTCTGCCCACCTCCAGGTGGTGTCACCTTGACTGCTGCTCCTTTGTTGCTCTCCCCCTCCTTCTGCCGAGCCATCTCTAACCATCACACCTCCCTTCCTTTTCCTACCCGATCTGAGTAGCAGATACGTTTTGATGGTAAGGGGGTTAAGCAAATGCTGAATTGTTTTCTACCCTTTTAAATGTAGGAACCACCTGGGTTTGCTGATGCTTTGGGGAAATCGTCTGCACATCAAGCTAATGAGGAGCTATCCAGTACTTTCATAACACAAACAGGTAAATGTGTTGTCTTTACCATAGTCATGAAAGGTAGTTCCTCTTTGAAGTTGTTAGGGGGTTATTGAAGTAGGAGACATGCTTTCTACCCACAGTCTTTGGTTCTTGTTGTAACATTCTCCTTGATAGCAAGATGGTCGAGGAGCAGAGACACCCTGAGCTCTATTATGTTGCCTCACAAGGTACCTCTGGTTCTAAGACTATAAGGTCTTGTCATTTTTCTGCTGTGTGCAGGTCTTGGAGCCAAGTAAGGATACTGTGAGCTGTGAAATACGATATCATGATAGGTATCTGGAAGTGATTACAATGCTGTAGTCAGACTATTGATAAACTACAAAAATTCTGATCGAGTCGTTCTTAGTTGTTAGCTAGACCCCCCTCGTTAGTTTGTGTTTCTTTTTTCTTACGGTTCATGTTTAAACGTAGTTGTTTAAAAAAGAAATTGGTACCCATTCATATGATCGGACAGTCATGGAGATAATAGACTCTGTATTCGTTGGTTCACTGACCAGCCAGCGAGGACTTTTAAGTGTTGACTTGAACTGTCATGTTTGAAGGAAACGAAAGGCTTTCTAGTAACTGGGTGTTTTGAATGTCATATTGGGAGTAGTTTCTCTCTTTGACTCCAATACTACGGAATACTCTGTGGATGTGAGTAAGTTCATTTGAGAGGCTTGTGAACCTGGGGTTTGGGTGGCTGCCATGCAGTATGTCTGCCTGTCTTACTGCGCTACAATTGCATTGTGCTACACCATCGATCTAGTGCTGATGTATGTCTTGATGGCAGGAGGGTCCCATCTCTGTGCTGCAGTGCAGTTGGCCAGTGCAGTCCCTTTCTACCTGAGAATGTTAAATATCCGTTCCGTTTTCATCATCGCAAATAATGTAGGTGCTGACAACAGGAACCAGGCCACTGTGATCGACACCACAGGAAGCATTAATTCCTCGGGATCGAAACCGCTTGCATCTTCATATCCCAAAAGGTAATGGACTGTCATTTTAACCTGCATCCTTGCTTCTTGTTACTTCCTTCTGCATTTGTATACTGAAGTTACAGCTTTTAATTTGCATAATTTTAAACAGTTTGTTTTTACATTTCACGGTTGTCTGTTGCCTGCTTAGTACACCTTTATAAGCCAATTACTGGAACAAAAACAGAAGTTGCTCTAAAAGATCTGGCAGGATCTGTGAAGGAAAAAAACAGAGTTAACGTTTCGGGTCCGGAGACCCTTCCTCAGAACCGGACCCGAAACATTAACTCTGTTTTTTTCCTTCACAGATGCTGCCAGATCTGCTGAGCTTTTCCAGCAACTTCTGTTTTTGTTCCTGCCTTATAGCATCCGCAGTTCTTTCGATTTTTATTAAGCTAATTACTGGAGGTGTGCTAGACAACATTCAACTCTGTTAAGCCTTTACATAATGTGAATGCTGGCGTCTGGAGAGCTGTCATACTGGACTGGGAAGTGTTGAGTCTGTTTCTCTCTCCACAGAGGCTGTCAGACCTGCTGAGTTTTTCCAGTAATTTGTGTTTTTATTTCTGTTCAAGCCTTTGTGTGCTGAATACCCTGGAAGTCACCAAGCGACTTTCTTCCACACTCCAAAGAATATAGACAATGAGGTGACTTTTTTGAACCATACAGGATTTTTCGGGGACTTGATAGGTTAGATGTGGAGAGGTTGTTTTCCCTCCTGGGAGAGTCTCAGATCAGAGGACATCATCTCAGAATACGAGGTCACATGTTTAAGACAGTAATAGTGAGGGTTTTCTTCTCACGGAGGGTTATGAATCTGTGGGATTCTTTACTGCAGAGAACTGTTGAGGCTGGGTCATTAAGTATATTCCTAGGAGACAGATTTTTAATCGGTAACGGAATCAACAATTAAAAGGAAAAGGCAGGAAAGTGTGTTTGCCGATTCTCATCAATCGTGATCTCATTGAAGCCAGGCGACATGGTGGCTCAATGGTTAGCACTGCAGCCTGCCAGCGCCGGGGACCCGGGTTCGATTCCACCCTCGGGCGACTGTCTGTGTGGAGTTTGCATATTCTCCCCGTTCTGCATGGGTTTCCTCTGAGTGCTCTGGTTTCCTCCCACAGTCACAAAGATGTGTAGGTTAGGTGGATTGGCCGTGATAAATTGCCCATAGTCCAGCAATGTGCAAACTAGCTGAATCAGCCTTGGGAAAGAATGTTCCAGATGTTGGGGAACTAGGGGCCACAATCTAAGAATTAGGAGTAAGCAGTTCAGGACTGAGATGAGGAAGGATTTCTTCAATCAGAGTTGTGAACCTGTGGAATTCGGTACCACAGAAAGCTGTTGGTCAAGAGGGAACTGGATGTGGCCCTTGTGGCTAAAGAGATCATGGGGAGCGGGTGGGAATGGGACACTGAGATTGCACGATCCTATAGAATGGTAGTGCAGTCTTGAAGGGCCAGTAGGCCTCCTGCACCTATTCCCTGTGCTTACGGGAATAGGGTAGAGATGGTTGGTCTGGCTGGGATGCTGTTTGGAGGGTCATTGTGGACTCGATGCTTTGAATGGCCTGCTTCCACACAGTACAGATTCTGTGAATGGCAGAGCAGACTCGCTGGGCTGGATGGCCTACTTCTATGTCTCGCACTGTTCAGGGAGTCACTCACATACCTATTAATGTGGAACTTTTTCTACAGATACCAAGCCATCTGAAGTTCAGAGCAAAGCAGAAACAAAGCATTTACACTGTGCCCAGCTGATCATTGCTTCAAATCTCTTCTGTTTAGGATACTCTGCAACACATCATGCCCACGACGTGTTTTCTTGAGCGCTAGAAAACTGCGGACTCTCTCAGCCTGAGTTACCATTCTCCCCTCTGTGTGCTTCAGTTCCCATTCCAGAGAGTTGAATACCAAACCCAGGCAGGTATTCCCAATACAAAACGGGGAAATGCTGCACTGTCGAAAGCACCATCTTTTGAACAAAATACTTCCCCAAGGCCAAGTGTATTTTTTTTATTTCTTCACAGGATGTAGGTGCCCAGCACTTATTGCCCATCCCTAATTCCCCAGAGGGTAGTTAGGAGTCAGCCACATTATTCTGGAGTCACACGGAGGCCAGGCCAGGTCAGGATGGTAGATTTCCATCCCTGAAGGATATTAGTGAACCCCGTCAGTTCTTCCACAGTAGTTCCTATTAGGCCAGATTATACCAGATTTTTATTGAATTCAAATTTTGCTATCTAATACGACGGGATTCAAACTCATTTCCCAGAACATGAACTTAGGGCTCTGGATAACTGCCAGTCCAGTGAAATTACCACTAAGCTGCCATCTCCCTTTAACCCTACATTGCACAGGTGAATGCCTAAGATCCCACTGCTTTGAAGAAGGGCAGAGAAATGGTTTTGGTGTCCTGGCCAACTCTAATCCCTCAACCCAATACTTCACAGCAATATATTGTGAATTATTGTCTTGCTGTGCACAAGGCACAAGTTTTCTACATCGTGACAATACCTACTGACTCCTTTGAAACTACTGCGTGAGCTATAAAGGATAGGACCTGAGTTCATTATGTATATAAATGCAAGTCTTAGTTTTTCTTTTCATTGTGTTGGAGGGCTTGAACTATAAGGAGAGGCTGAATAGGCTGGGGCTATTTTCCCTGGAGTGTGGGAGGCTGAGGGGTGACCTTCAAGAAGTTTATAAAATCATGAGGGGCATGGATAGGGTGAACGGCCTTTTCCTTGGGGTGGCAGAGTCCAGAACTAGAGAGATAACAAGGTGTAGAGCTGGATGAACACAGCAGGCCAAGCAGCATCAGAGGAGCAG